TTGATTTTTTAAAAAAAAAAAAAAGAATTTTGCAAGGGAAATTCTTATTATTTAAAGTAGAACAATATATCATTCATTACTTGAGCAATTCTTGAATGTTTTATTTTACAAAGCTGACTTCTAATGATTACAAGTGAAACTGTTGACATGGTGAAACATAAACCTGTTTTAAATTCTATTCATATTGGAATTTATTTCTGAATGAGAAGAATTGTGTTAGCTGCAGAACTGTAGCTCTCTGCTTGAAAAAATTCGGACAGATAAAGCAGAGAGCTACAGATCCAAGCGTTGTAAAAACCTTCGATTTACGCAACCCCTTTTTTGCGTTCGCTTCAGCTATTATTTCTTGTATTTTATGCTTTCCCCCGCTGTAAGAATGGTATCCGATAATTAACCATATATTTATCTCCTATTCCTGATATTTTATTTACCTTTCAACGGTTTCAAATGGCCGTATGTGGTTTTTAGAGTATCAGTTAAAAAAATTCCCTCTCCAATGTCCATGTTGGTGTCATCCTAGTAAAATAACATGCCCGAGTTTTATTTTTATCTATTTTTTTAAAATACATATATTGTTTTCTTTATAGACAATATACATGATATCTGAATTTTTTATTTTACAATTTCTCGGCAAGTGTATGTTCTTTGAAAGACTTTTTTTCGCACGACCCCCAACATGAACGTCGACGGAATAGGAATTTTTTAAACCGACATTCCAAAACCATAAAGGGCTGTTTGGGACCGTTGAAAGGTAAATAAAGTATTAAGAATAGGAGTAAAGTATATTGCTAATTATCGGATACCATTCTTAAACTGGGGGAAAGCATAAAATACAAGAAATAAAAGCCGAAGCGAGTGAAAAAAAATGGCGGCGTAAATCGAAAGTTTTTACAACGCTTGGATCTGTAGCTCTCTGCTTTATCTGTCCGAATTTTCTCAAGCACAGAGCTACAGTTCTGCAGCTAGAACTGTGTGTGCTAAGTATTTTAATGCAAAAGTTATGAATTGTATCAATGTAAGTGTCTCATCCAACATTAATTCATATATGATTGACATCTCTCACCTAAAGATGAAACACTGTGAGTTGCTTGCCTTAATATTTACATATATAACAGATATATTTGCTGCAATGGTGTCTCAGCTATAGCAATTCATATTCAGTAATATTTCAAGCTTTAGGATGTATATGTAGAGAAGTTGTTCACCTACATACAAGATTTCCATCTGAAAGTCATTTATTTAAAAAAAAAAAAGCATCGGGATGTTTTTGTGGCCAGAATAAGTGTCTCCATAAATAAATCACATAAAAGTATTAGGTTTGCATAATGCTTCATCAGTCCCTTCTATAAATATAACAAGTTTGGAGTTGTGCCATTAATGGCTGACTGTCCTTTTGATGAGCTTCCTGAGAGTGTACTGTCAATATCTGTACAAGTGATCTAAATATAAAACATATAAGTCATCAAATTGACAGAATCGGTGACTAGGGGTCAAGTATACTTTAACAATTAAGAATATATCCCAATGTTAGAGATGAGCATCGATTGATACACAATAAAGTGTAACTTGATATATAATATATATCATATATACACACCGGCCGGTATCAACATTTTTGACTTTGTACATGATGTGATATATTCATATGAATAACCTTTTTGTGTGTGTTCTTTAAAAAGTTATAAAAATTAAAAATAATTTCTCAAAAGTTTTCATTGCAATATTGTTAAATTGGAATGATGTAAATTTCATTCTACTGACACAACCTTTATGAAATATTAGAATTTTCAAATCATATCAAAAAACCAGTATTCCAGATTGCCGTATTGGTCATGGACTTAATTGAAATGTATCATACTCAATGCTTGGTGTATTGTTACATCCCTAATGACTACATCAAGATGGGTATTTGACAAGTCAGAATTAAAATTTACATTGAAAAGCCTCATATGTATAGTTTTTATTTAACAGATTTTTAATTGAGAAGGCTTAAATATTGGAGTGATGTGGAAACATTTATGTTATTTATTGTACCTGGTCATATTCTTTTTAATGTGTTGGTAATTAGCTGAAATCGGAGATTTTTACACTGAATGACATAGAAGATTGTTTTTAGCAGTATTTGTTTAAAAAAAAAAACAACTTGATTTAATAAGCCTATCTCGGATAAAAATATTTGCCGGAAAACTTGATCATTAAGTTGCAGCATCAAAGACCGATATCTAGAAAAGGGGATCCATTTCATGTTGACGTGAGGTGTTGTCATAGTGTGATTCGCACTTTGTCATCGACAATTAACAGTGATGTCATATTTGTCTCATGGATTCAAAGAGAAGTCATGAAAGCAACACTTTTGTTGATATTAGGTGCAATGTTCTCTTTGCTTTGAATGTTAGCCTGACGTTGGAGGGGTAGAATGTGATAATTAGAAACTGTTGTTGACACGATGAGCTATAGAGTTCAGACAAGATTTCTGTCTACAGACAGTGAAAAATTGTATATCAATACTTTTTTTTCTTTGAATTTAAAAGCAAAGCACAGATTTAGCAATTAAGAAAAATGAGATTACTTTCAGTAAAATTAGATTTTTGAGAAAATTCATAAAAAATGCAAGGAGCTAGAGTTTAGCTTGTACAATGAAGTGCAGTAAGTGAATCTGAAGGTCTTTATTTTATATGAACCTTAATTATTAGAGTTTCCACTTACATACATACATGATGAAGGACATTGCTGGTAATTTTTTATAATTATAGCCACTCGAGTATGGAAAGATGATCAAGTGATAATTATGGAGGATCAATGTAGTGTTTATCTTTCCTGTGTTCACATAAATAAATTTTTGCTGTAACACTATTTTTTTTAAAAAAAAAATCTCTTTTTTTTTATAGGTAAAATGCACACAAAATCCGCATATTACCTTCAAGGGCATAATTTGACCATAGATGTATTTTGAAATGTTTTTTTTTTTTCATAAAGAAGTACAGCTGAACTTGGATATGTTAGAGTAATTTTGAAGTCCCAACCACTTATTATTTAAAGTATGTTACCCCCAATATTTGGAAATCTTGAAGTTTTTCCTTGGTCCCATTGAGTTGGAGATAATGAGGTTTGACTGTAATTAATAGTCATTTATCACCGGGGGGGGGGGGGGGGGGGGGGGGGGTTATCTCTCCTATCAGAGGTTAGATGAACCTTAACATTTGATGACACCATGTAAAAAGATAGATTATGTTGGAGATAGCTGATAATTTTGCAAATGAATATTAATGTTTTGAAATACAATATCAAATTCCAGAGTGAAAAAACATTGCACCATGAACTGCTGCACTATAATATTAGCTTGTTGTTATTATAACCTTTGTACATGTATACATGATAGAAATGTATCTGAACTCTTTTTAATCCCACTTTGATAAATAGTCTTTAAAAAAAGTGAGCTTTAGTAAGGACCGACACCAGGCAAACAATATAGGAACAACATCACATGATTTCATTTAGTTCTGATGATTGTGGACGGAGTTCACACCCACATTTAATGGACACCAATCAACTTTCCATTCCTCCTTGTGTATGAACGAAGTTCCTGTGTTTTCATTTATTGAGCTGTTATTGAAAAGGGGAAAATGTCTAAAGATAGCAAAATTGATTGGTTGTTGTACATGCACAGCCAATAATCTGCTGTGTCATAATGTTTTTAAATAGACTTTGTGTTGACTTCCAAAGTGTTTATTAGTCTTATTTGGTATATTGAAGGATTGGTTATTTTTGTGTGTGTGTGTATCTAGCAGTAGGATGTGTGGGTTTAGCAGAAAAGTGATTTTTTTTTTATAAGTCAGGGCTCTCACACCAGTTTTTGGGACCCAGGGGCCGGGGCCATGAAAATTGGGAAAATTAGCGACCTTTTGAGGAAATTTGGGAAAATCATAACTAGACAATATCCATTAAATTCATTATATATTGAGTTTCTGGTGGTTGTTATCAACTAAATTTCTGTTTTGTAATATAGAGAAATGTGAATAACAAGTTTAGGAACTACATATTTTACTACATGTTCTTTAATATTTGGGGGAAGTGACCAATTTGGAAAATTAAAACATTAAATTGGGAAAAAGGTACCATTTTTGAATTGGGAATGGGGCCTTTAAACGGCCCCAATTATAGAGAATCAAGAGCCCTGTTAAGTCTAATTATTAACCTTTTTTGTTGATAATAGAGGACTTTAATTAAAAGAGAGATATTATTATCAATGCCAGTTTTATTCTGATTGGTCTTATTTTTCAATGTATGGATTATTCATGACCGTAAGTATCTCTTACTTATAATTAAATCCACAGTGCTTCCTACAGTTTTCTTCTTCAAGATACACATATTTTTTTTAGCCATTATGATAGCAATAATGTATATATGTTTAGTATTTAATGCAGCTTTTGTTAAAAAAATTCATTTATTTCTAGGAGCTTTTTTTTATGAAGACCTTGAAATAGGTCTCTTTATCAGTTGACCCTGATCAACAACTTGAGAATAATTGCCTGTAAATGTTCTCTAAATGGTCAATTCTTACAAGCTGCAACTGCATTTAATGGTCACCTGAGAATAGTTTATAGCAGAGGAATTGCACAACAGTTGGCTGGAAACTGGATTTTTTTAGTGTTCATCTTTTGTATACAAGAGCTGGGAAAAGAAGAAATATAGAAATATTGATGTATATTGGCTTTCCAAGTTTTATCATGTGAAGTCGTACTAATTTGTGGAAAGGAAATTTCACACTGGTTTTTGTGTAAGAGTGAATTTTTATGGTTCCATTGACATTAATTTAGACCATTTGTTCAGCAGTCTTGGAATCTATTTTGATATCGACATTTTCCTGAGTAAAAAAGAATTAATACAGTGCATGAAAATCCATTCTGATATGTTCATAACAAAAATGCTCTTTATTTATTTAGATATGAGATATTGTAAAAGAAAAAAAACCAGTGCATATATTTTGTTATATTTTTCAGATCCACTGGGTCCAAGTGACAGTGGGATGGATATCAATAGTCATTTTACACCAATACGCAAAGCAGGTATGTTAAGCAAAGTTACAATACAAAGCAGGTATGTTAGGCATAGTTACAATACAAAGCAGGTACGTTAGGCATAGTTACAATACACAGAGTGGGTACGTTAGGCATAGTTACGATAGGCAAAGCAGGTATGTTAGGCATAGTTACAATACGCAAAGCAGGTATATTAGGCATTGTTACAATATGCAAAGCAGGTACAATAGGCATAGTTACAATATGCAAAGCAGGTACATTAGGCATAGTTACAATATGCAAAGCAGGTATGTTAGGCATAGTTACAATACACAAAGTGGATATGTAGGCATAGTTACAATACACAAAGTGGATATGTAGGCATAGTTACAATATACAAAGTGGATATGTAGGCATAGTTACAATACACAAAGTGGATATGTAGGCATAGTTACAATATGCAAAGCAGGTATGTTAGTTATTATCACATGCAAAGCAGATGTGTCAGGCATAGTTAAAATATGCACAGCAGGTATGGCTTCCAGGAATAAAGTCTGTTAGGCTTAATCAGAATAATTTATATGCAAAACAGATATGTTAAATATAATGTATAAGTCACAATACACAAAACAGGTGTGTCAGGTGTTGTCACATTATGCAAAGCAGGTGTTTCAGGGGTACATACGCAATGCACAGGGTAATTACGACCGCTGCACCAATATAAACAAAATAACTTGTTTCATCTCAAATGTGAGAAAAAAAATGTATCAATTCAAATTATTCTGTTGTAAAGTACAAGAGATGGATGTAAAAATGCTAACAAAAAGAGACGTATATTTTTCAAAATATGCCTAATTTGAAGACATCTAGTGACCTATCAATGCTGACTTAATGATTTGTCAGGGCATGCTACAAATGTACGTACACACAGTCATCTTACCGCAACCACATGTAAACCAAACAGATGAGTCGTTACCGATGAACTACCTTCTTCTGAGTTTACATGTAGATAATACTTATTCTAATATTTTATATATACTTTCATGAATTCTTTCTGGTAAAAATCGTAATGCTGCAGATTGTATTGCATTGTTTATCACTACATGGTCGAAGTTATACTTACTGACACTGTATTCATGCAGGGATAACTTCGGCTGCATTCTGTTCAACTGATTTGCATTTGAATTTGTAAAAACTAAAAAAAAATTTAAGTGATTGAGAAGGCATGAATTTCACTTGTAAAAACATTTTTGATGAATGTCACACCAGAGATATCCATTGATTAACTTTCTATATTTATATTTTCAGAGGCGATATTACAATTTCTCATGATAGTAGCTAATAAATATTCATCTGTAATTTGTCGGGTGATGAAGCCTCTTCTGTATTATGATATCGTAATATTCAAGTGAGCAACTTAATTACGCTCATGGAAATAAAATTATTAGTGACACAATACATCAAAAATGCATATTGTTTCTGCATAAAATAGGTGTACTTAGACAATAATAGGCTTTAGAGAAAATATTAAAAGGTATTTATGAATGGTCAAAATTACCGGCAAGTGGTCGAAGATGCACCACCCTACCATGAAGCACATAATTCAGACTGTGTATCAGACAAGTCCACAACACAAAATCTGCAACTATCAAAGAGTACATTGTACAGTAGGTTATTTCTCAGGCTTCATTGGAAAATGTATTGTTTTATGCTCTAAGAATGGACATCACGCATTAGATTAGTATGTTATTTTGGTTGGAGTTCATAGTCTGTAAAGTTATGATTTTTATCCGTGGGTGTTTGTTGTTTAATGTAGCAGGAACCAAGCATGTATTTTGGTGAACTTAAAGGTCTAAAAATGTGCAAATTTTGGTCCGAAAAATTATATTTGACAGGTGGAGGCTTACACTGTCTATAATTTCTAATTTATAGTCTGAGAAGTCATTAGTATTCAATGTTTCATGTTGTACCAGTGTGATCAGTATGGTATAAGGGGGCTGATGTAATTGTTCTTGGGCAGGCACTTGGACACAAGGGTTCCATTAAATATTCATTTCGTGTAACAAAACATTATATTTATATTGTTGGACAGTATCATAATCATTTCCTCAAACATATGCATACGATGATTTACAGAAAATTAATATACAATGTATTAATTAAATTTCAATATTATGTGCACCGTAATTTTATTGCATGGGTTAACTGGTTATTTTAGTGCTTATATAAAGTTTTTGTTCTTTTTGTGAGAAACTGATTTGTTGGCATAATCCATTGTATGATTATAATTATAAGCCTGTACTAATTAGAAATTAATTAAAAAAAAAAAAATCTGAGGTATTTCTTATTAGTCATAATAAATCTGAAAACATACTTTTTTCTGTGTGGAATTAATTTACGCTATGTACATGGTAGCAAATTTGTCACAGTGTACCTTAAGTGCATTGAAGACGTACAAATCCATGCCATTTTCTATCTGCAGATTGAACAGACATCGTGGTTCTGCGGAATTGTGACCCCATGGTAAAAAAAGAATGTTTACTAGTAATCGCAACGATTTTGAAGGGGTCACAGACTTGCAGAGGACCATTAATATATTCTTTGTTATGTTGGGGAACAAAATATGAGATATGTGGTTCATCTGGTGTGACTACTTCAAAAAAAAAAATTGAGCAGTTTGTCACATAAAATTTAATTATAAGCATATATGGGGAAAATATGTTTCAGTTTAGTCTCATTGTTAGGTTTTTTTTAAATATATTTGATAGTGACAGCTAGGATACATTACTTGGAAACAAAGTTTTCTGTAACAACTACATTAGAATGCTATAAACTGAAATGTTTTTTTGTATTTAAACAAATAAAAGCCACTGAGGGCTAATAGAACCAAGAGGTCCAATGTTTATTTACATTTAGTCCTCTCTGATATGAAAAAAAGTTATTGTTATCAAAAATGGCATTTCGGCAGAGTAAACTATGTTTAACAATTGAAGGTCTGTAAATACTGAAAACTACGTCATTGATATTTTTTTTTTAAATAGAACAATTAGTGAGATGAAGTGTTTACTGCCTGTGATAGCTCTCTCCCAGTTCCTTATAGTCAAAGAGATCTGGAAACGTGTGCTGTTAACATTGCGATTAATACTTACGTGCTTAAGAGTCTATGACGTTTATGAAGGGTAGAGTGCTTTCGGTAATGGTGTTGATTGACAAGCATCCCTTACAGGCCCGTTATCTAGTATTGTGCACACTTGTCTAGTGCTCTTATCTAATCTTCTTTGTAAGGAGGCATATATACAGTCATCTAAAAATCACAAGGACACTAGGAAATGTATTTTTAAAATCATTTGGAAAACAAAACAGAGAGAGAGATGGGAGCGATATCATTGTTTATTCTTAGGGAAATGTGAATTTCCCAAAATTTTCAAATTGAATTAATTAAAATTTGTCCTATAATAAGAACTATCAAAATACAATTCAAAAGTTAACATGTTGATTGATCTAATGCTGGTAGACATAACCTAGCCAGGGGGTCATTTGATGTGGACACCTCATGAGGGAGGGGGTTTCAGGGTGGTTGAGAGGGTACAAACTTTTTACTACTACCTGTATGCATTTTTTTTTTGATCACCAAGAATGTTATTTCATTATAAATATTTCATTTCTTTTTATGTTATTTATTTATTTTTCTATCAACCTATAAGGAAAAATTAAATTAAAAACCGGAACTTTGGATTGCCTTTGTCCAGCTGTTGACACTTGACAGTTAATGGAAATAAAAAAATACATAATCAATATATCTAGGAATTGTAACATGATTTTTTTTTCGTATGTAAAACCCAGTTACCACGAAACATCAGAACTGTACTCGAGATATGGAGAAGGAGTTTGAGTAGGAGTGTGAACATTTTTTTATATAACCTTGGGGCCTAATAAGTGTCTTTGGAAGAGTGGCTTTAAAGTTTATGCACAATTTTTTTTTTAAAGAAAGTTGTTGACGTCAGGTTGTACACGAGTACTCGTATGAGTATGACTGTTCTAGTAATAATATGTACACGGGTTGGCAATCAAGAACTCGTGAACTTGAGTTCAGGTTTTTTTTACTATGGTGTTCTCCTGAACTTCTGTGACTTTTTGTTGAACATTGGCATGCTTAGTTCTGGAAACGAAAGGAATTGATTTTATTTTTTAAGAAGGGAAATGGTTTCTTAGCTTCTTTTTTTCTGAAAAAATGGAAAAATAGATTCTTTCTGTTTATTGTGTTAACATACATGTTTATTCCTGCTACTATAGATCCGAGAACCGTGCATGCTTTTTGACACACGTCTTTTTACTTTCTGCATTATTGTCGGAAATTTTTATAGAAAATGGAATCAAAAGTATTTGGTTTTAGATTACATCCAGTTTGTTTTTGTGCAACAATAGGTAATGTTGTCAAGTGAATTAAGATCTGAAGGACATTTAATTGACCAAGATTCGTATTTCAAGGTCGGGATTAAATGAAGAATTGTTATTTTATCAATCACAAATCAGAAGTTAAACAGACAAAAAAAAATTACTTTTTTTTAAAAGTGTCTGATAGTGACCGAGAAAATTAAATCTGCACAGGTCTTGAGGATGATGTTGATATTTCAAGATCAGTACAGGATCTAGCCGGGGTTATAAAATAATAAAACCCCAAACTTAGAGAGATTTTGTCAACCCGGAAACCACGTTCGCCCATACTGCTGACGTCAAGAGATCTCCCCCCTTGATCTTAATCTGGAACATGATAGCTTGTTTTGTATATTTGTCAAGGCCACACATTCCAAATAGAAGTTTATCAGTAGAAGAAATGGATTTACTAGCAGTTCAAAGAATAGTATTTTTCTATATGGTATATGACCTTGATTTTGAAATTTTCAAAAATGTTAGAACCAATTTTTTTTTTTTTTTAAATTTTTTTCTACTTAGGCAGTTACATTTAAGTGATTTCTTTCATTATGATGCAATGTTTACCACTTATGAAGCTTTGAATTTTCAGCAAGCCATGAATACTGGTATTTGCA